AAAAAAAAAAAAAAAAAACATATTAAGTAAAACAATTAGATCATTGTCAACTTCAGTTTCTTTGTAAAAAAAATTCCACGCACAGGGAGCTGCGTAGCTATAGGCTTTCTTCCCTAGTTCTGTGCGGGCAAAAGAAACAGTGAGCAACAGCTGATTGTTGGATCTCAGGGCATAAGAAGTCATGCTTTTCTGTGTAAAGTACAAATGTAAGAGGGCAGTAATCCAAGAAGGGCCTTAATAAAAGTATACCAATGACATTGGCTTTTAGTAGAGAGGGAAGGCCATCCCACCTGAGAGTACAGGTCACAGTGATGTGTCATGGCTCTACAGCAGTGATTTGTTTTGAATGTAAAATGTTATTGTGGAAGGTTTGGAAATAAATTTGCATCATTAGAAAAGTTAATTTAGTGGTAATTTAGGGCAGAAGTATTGAAAACTTTCACCTACTGACCCATGAAATGGTACAAGAGTCAACTCATGACCACTCATATGGATTACTTTTACTAACTTGTCATCAAAATCAATTAAAGACGGATGTAAAATATTACAATCAGCCTCAAAAACCAAAGTAGTTGGTTTTTATCAGTTTTTAGTCATGCTTGTATAACTATATCTTAACATTAATATTTAGTGTAATTTCTGTAGTGGGTCTCAAGGCCCCATACTGGCTGCCCTAGGCCCTGACTTTGGGAATCGGTGGTTTAGAGGACATTAAGCACAAGTCTCCAAACATGCTTATTTTATTCAACAAACAAAAGTGTACAACAAAGTTATAACAAAAACAGACCCAGAACCTGAATCAAAACATGAAAAAATGCTTAATGTACTGTTATAGAGACAGTGTTGGAACTAAACTCAATGTAGCTTTAACTTTGCCATATTTATCAAAAACGCATTGTGTAATCAAAGTCACTAACTTCAACAGACCTGATGAGCACATTTAGAAAAACCTGCAGCTTTAATTATTCATTTACAGAAAAACAACTGCTTTAAGCTCAACAACCGGTGCTGCTATGATCTGAAACGGATCTCAGTAAAAGAGCTCATCCAGGATGCTGATTGGGGTGTGACGGGTTGATGGCTGTAGGGAAAAAGAAAAAAAACCTAATTTAATTTTTCAGGCAAACAATATTCCACACAGTCTTTGCACACAGGAAGCTTCAGTTACAGGATCTGAACCCAGGAATGTAAATATGTTAGCTGGTGAAGAAACTGGCCTATAAGGCTAAGAGTAGGTTTGGCCTTTGTGCAGCGCTGTGCTAAAGAGCTACAAACACATAACTTCTGCCTTCAATAATATTGCTGATCACTCCATCTACCACTCACAGGCATCAGTTCATATTAAGTGCTTTTCATTGCAGAAAGCATTGCACTGCATTTACACAGCGACTTGAGAAGATTTTCTATTTCTTTTGGTCTCTAAGCAACTAGAGTGAAATTGTAAGGTTGATGCTCTTCTCTCCATCTCTAAATCCTACTCCAGCAGTAAATTTCAAGGATTAGAAGCAGATGCAGACCCTCCTGTACTTAAACTGAAACTTAATAAACTTAGATACATATAATAAAAGGTTAAGACAGGTTTAAGACAGTAAGTCTTACTTCTTTACAATAACATTGATGCATATATCTTGTTTTTACCAGTGCATATTCAGATTCATGGTCACTTTCGTAATCTTCGATCTCTGGCTCGTCTTCTCCTGAACCGTTGCTTTCGGGTCTTTCCAGAATGTCGTCTTCAATCAGAGAAAGCCTGGTCACCAATAGGAGAGTCAGAACGTTTTCATGCTCCTGAACAGAAGAGGAACTGACAAAAAGAAGGAGATCTGCCTTACAATGAGAGGCGAGAGTCCAGACTGGCTTGCTTTGAACTAGTCTGCATGGAAGGAGCTTTCCCACGTTTGGTCTGCTTTACTTTCCGCATGTGTGATCTGAAACATACAGCACCAACAGTTTCATTTTGCAACCTGATTTCTATATCGCTTAGGGCTTACTTTCTTTTAGTGTTGGCTTTCCTTTCGCCTGTTATCATTCCTATTAAATTAGAGCGGAAAGCAGACTGCCCTGCATGACATTTATTAAAAACAAATTGCAGCTTTTGGCAGACTTCCCGCTATAACCAGCAGCAGTCCAAAACAGGCACGGTGAAGGCTGAAGATATGGGGATGATAAAATCAAATTCACCCAGAGGAGAAGTCATCCTCAGACTCCAGCTCAGGCAGGCCACTCGCACTGTCTGACGCTGTGGCTATGGGCTGTTTGCTGGTCTGCTTCAGGACAGTGGAGGTGAGGGCTGGAGTGTGAAGGTGGCTCGGACTACTGCTGCTCTCTGACGGCGAACCTTTAGCAGACACAGAGACAGGGCAAGACAGACGGAAAATATACAGCAGTATTTTATTGATTCTTTATTAAAGATGATTCCAACAATATTCTTGGGTCTTTCTGATTAGGAAAGAATATTTATAGAGCACATTTCAGTGGCAAGATAATTCAAAGTGTTGTATATGAGAAAATAAAAAGGTTAGTATATTGAAACGGCATAAACGAAAAACAAATAATAAAAGGAAACATATTTCAAATGCCAAAAGAAAGAGCTCAGTGTCACCCTGAGCTGTGGTCCTCCTGTGTTTGGCTGCAGAGGTGACAAGGGAGGAAATGGCTTCTCCTTTCTCTTCTGGCTCTTTGTGCTTGAAAGAGTGTGGCTCGAAAGACCTGCAATACATTCTGACTGGTGGCCAGGAGAGGGCAGCACTGGGACACTCAGATTTCAAAATAGCAGATCTGGAAGAGAATCAAAGAGCAGCAGGATTCAGGAACAAAGACCAGGGGAACATGTGTTCATTTTCCATTTTTAACATGTTCTTTATGTATTTTCTAAGTTTTTTTTCAAATATATAGTTTGACAATTCTAGCATAATCTACAGATGTTCTATTTTTTGAAAAAGAGATAAAATCTGAAAAAAATCTGATTTTGTCAAAAGCAGTATTTCTTGGTAAATAGATAAATCTGAATCTGACTTGTTGGAAGCATTTTTAGAACACTGCTATTAGAGAGTAAAATGAAATGTTTTTATGTGGCGCAGCAGTTATTGTATATCTAAAAACCTTAATTTGATAAATCCCTCAAAGTTAGTTATGATCTGTATCATCGGAGGCCTCTTTGATCAGGTGGTTAATACAAATCGCAAATCTGTCCTGCAGATTTGGTTGTTTGGTATTAGATTAAGAAATATCCTTTACTGTCAATCGGGGGGGGGGGTCACTTTGGGAATGTTCTGATCTCTATAATCCAGGTAAAAGGAAAAAAAATCACACAAGTTGAGTAAGTCTGGAAAGGTTCCCTCTTTGTTGAAATGCTTTGTCACAGAGAAACATCTGAGGAGTTACAGGATTGAAGGAGAGACAAAACGCTCCAGCAAAGCAGAACTCATCCAGAAAGCTAAGTGAACTTGTTTGGGTCTCCTTTGGGATGCTTAATCAAAGCTGTGATGGGATGAGGTTGCTGTTTCATCAGCATGTTAAAAAAGAGCTGTAGAAGGTGATCCTCATCAGATCCTTCAAACCTGAATGGTCTAACTTTATCTTACAGCATGGAGCCATAGAGACTAAACACATTTGAGCTGATCTTTTCGGTTCTCACAGCTGGGCACGGTCCTGAGGAAGCAACTTGAAGCTGAATTCGCTGAGGATTTCTAAGAACGGCACGTTTGGATGCTCCTCGTCTCCATCCTTTGCTGCACGAAATGCAAAACGGATCCCGTCCCTGACAGCAGATAAAACACAAGAAAGATTACTGCTACAACCAAAAGGCAACAGCATAAAGGTTGCTGGTCAGCAAACAGCCCCAAGATTCATTTCCAGCCAAAAACTGTCATAAAAATAAGCTTTAAAGAGTTGAAGGAGAAAAGCAGGAGAACATAGAGCACGTGTGTTAGAGAAGTGTATTACTAACAGGTGCAGGGCCACCAGTTGTTCGCGGATGCGATGGAGACCGACGCCAAAGCTCAAGGCAAGCCTTCTGGCCAACTCTCTGATCTCGGTGATATCCTGCTGGTCATGGTCCTCCGTAAGCATCTCAGAGAACAGCTAAACACACAGAGGCAGGACTTACCAGGACAGTATACCTGCATTGCATGAAATAAACAGGCATGTCATCCTGGTTTCAAGGTTGGATGCAGAAACTTAAAATATAAGAGGGTTGAATTTTAATAATGAAGCCAGAAGATGCAGGAAAGGTGAAGCTTTTAAAGAGAGAGCTTCAACTGGGAGTTTTATGGTAGCAGATAACAGGAAGCAGAACCGTACCCACAATGCATTGTGATCACCATGATTTTAATGATCTGGGTTCCTTGCTCAGTGTTGCAGAGATACGGCTGTGCAACTTCTGTGAAATAATTTTATTTAGAAATAAATATTATATTAACGGCCAAATAAAGTTTTAGTATATATAAAAAGTACCAAAAAATATTTTCTATTTATTTGTTTCTCAAAAACACTGAACACACTTTGATTTGTAAACAATGGGACAAGATATGAAAGCTTTGTTTTAGACATAAAGCTAATACCTCTTCCTTTTTTTTTTTGAACAGGCCCTTCAAGGACACCTATAAACTGCACGGGATTGTTGGTGGTCCATGGAATAAAGCTGAATATATTCTCAGAGATGTGATGTCGACTTGAAATGTTCCAGAGAGAGAGTTTGCTTGAATGCTCATTTGGGCAAAGTTTTGAAAACGTTTACATTTCTTTCTTTTTTTTTTTTAATATTAACGATAAATCATAGTAATAATTTTTTTAAAATATTAATGACAAATCATAGTAATAACAGTTTTTTTCTATGTCATAATTTAGTGTTTTAAGAGTCTTTAAGCTTATTTAAAGTCGTTGATATTCTCACTGTTAGATAGTAAATGGCAATGCCAATTATTGCCTTATTCAAATGTCTGGTTGCTTCAGGAAAAAATGTTTCATGAATTTAAAGTTTGATTCAAGTGTTACCGCACATAAAATGCAATGGTAAAAAACAGTATACTAAGAACAACGATGACCAACAAAGCTGTATTCTCATCCAAAAGGAGCTAATCCTGCAAAGTCAATGAAAGGATGTAATCAGTTGGGTTTCTTAAAACCAGTCTGTTTATAAGTTGGTTGATCCGTTTCAGTAAACTGCCTTAAAATGACATGTTTTAAAAAGATGCTACATAAAAAAACAGATTTTGTCCTAAGTTGACTAAAGCTCTAACTTATTTTGTGAAAAGGGAACCCATGCTGATTTTGAATCTTTTCTAAATAGTGGTATTTTGTGGAGCCATATTTATTTGAATCAGCAATTTAGAGCAGTTTTGAGAAATTTGAACGACTGGACTTTGTTTTCCAAGTTTGAAGACATTTCACCTTCCATACAGGAAGCTTTTTAAATTCAAAATGTTTAGATTATTGTGGAGTTCTAAGCTTTATAGAGTAGCCCAATAAATCCTTGTTATAGCCTAGAAAGTTGTGGCTTTGAAGTTACAATAATTTTTCTTAGTTTGATTTGAAAAGTGTTCACAATATAGCCTCTCCGGTCTGTTGTTGCCTCTTAATTCAGTTTATTGTTTAGAAGTGTATGTAATTCCTTCACAGAATAAATTTATGAGTTCAATATATCCTTAATTTTATGACAAATTTTGACCCCCATACATATGTGTGCAGGTGCCTGCTGCCACCCCATGCCAAACAGGAGGACGTCAGTGCTTGAAAACTCCTGCAGCTTTCAATGTTAAACCTCAGGAGGGAATTATGACAGTGAAATGTGGAGCAGACCTGTTGCAGGGTCAGGCAGACAATCCTGGCGCACTTAATGGGGTTGATCAGCTTGCTTTTACTCAGCGTTTCCTTTATGATGTCACCAAAGTCTTTAAAGAACTGTAAGAAACCAGACAGGATAGAATATCGATGCTTGTTTAATTGTAAGTGTCTGATAACGGAAATAGTCCCCACTCTTCACGTCATGAGTCCTTTTTTTAGCTACAGCTCTCAATGACTAATCTGCTGCACCTCGCTTGTTCCAAAACAAATTTCCTCACCTTCCTCCGCTTTCCACACATCCTCTCCATTAGTACTGATCTGAAATAACTTTTCTAAATCTAGCTAATTCATCCAAGAATGAATCAGGAAGACAAAGACTCCACAGCTAGTCTACTGTATCTAGGCACACATCTAAAAGTTACAGCTCAAACATCACTCCACCTTGCTGTAGTGCTTGAAGATATTGGTGGCAGCACTGAGGTCCAGGACGCCATAGAGCACCAGCTTACAGTAGCCAGCAAGTTGTTTACGTTTCTTTTGAAGAAGAACCACATTCTGTTCCAATTCAGCATCTAAAATAAGAGCGGAAATGTTAAGACACAATCAGAAAGTATGACGCTGCTTCAGCTTTTGATGCAGAATCAAACAGATAGAAAAAACATGCAACAATCTTCATGAAGTAGGATGAAATAGTCTCAGAAAAAGAGATGTAAAAGTACATGCAACAGAATGAATGTGTTCCTTATTTCATGAACTAACAAAAGTCGCAACCAGTGAAGCTCCTTAAATAATGACAGGTCATCCTGTAGCATGGTTTCCTATAAAATACCATCAAGGTTGACGTTTTCCGTGTCGTCGAAGACATGATCCAGGAGAAAAGAAGCCAACTCAGTCCGCAGAGAATCGGATGGCAGGTGGACCAGCGTCTGGAGGGCAGGCTCACTGCGGACAGAGCCTGCGCTGTACAGCAGCAGCAGGTCACAAAGCAGCTCAAACGCCTGTTAATGGAGGAAAATCAAGGTGCACAACATTTAGTGCTCGTTTGTAAACCAGAAAACTGAAATTAAGGAATTTTAGATTCATAATATTTTAATATTCTTATGCTTAAATGATTTTCTGATTATATTAGAAGGCGAAATGTGGCTTAATAGGGAGTTTAAATGCCTGCATCAGATAATTTTTGAACAATTGGAACTGAGAACAGAGCTGCCAAACTGTAATGTTTTACCAAAGTCAAACCAATGTTGGAGCCCCTTTTCTACATTTTAATTCCCACACAATGCAAACAAAGTTCGCACTTAATATCTGTACACGCTGAACTCATGAGGATGGAGAACACAATGATCCTGAATTTTTTTTTACCTGATCTCTTATCTCTATCTGGTCCCAAGACAAACAACTCTGACAGATTCTGCAAAACGAATGGACCTCCTTCTTCAGAAGCTTCAATTCAGCCTGGAAGATAAATTTAGTGATAAAAGTCTAACAATGGAAAGCAAGACTGAAATAAAATGACTGTAAGAATGTAAAACATTAGAAATCGCTTCTTTATTCAGCATTAATTTAAATAAAATTAAAGTACAAAAAATGATTATTTGAAATAGAAACAAGTACCTCTGCTGGGTTGGAGTTGACTGCATTCACTTTTGCCCACATTAGGTGAAATCCTGCGAACTTCAGAGCTGCTGCCATGAGCTGAAAAAGAACAGAAATAAATTAAAATTTAAGTTTTGTCTGTTGTTCTAGCTACTCCTTGAGACACACCTTAAGAGTTAACACGAAACCTTCCCTTGATAGAAAGCTATCTCAAATGTAGCACAGGCATAATAGAGGGTTAGCTACTTCTAGTAAAATTAAATGACACTTTAGCTATGAAACATACTCCACAGCTGGTTGCTCCCTTTCTAATTGCTTTTTTTTAAGATGTTTGTCTCCATTAAATGTTTCAGTACATCAAATATAAATACTAGTCAAAGACAAACACAAGTGGGAGCATTTCCAAAAACTTGCAACTAGACTTTTTCCCAGCACAGTGGAGGACCCTTTGACTTTTTAAGAATTGTAGTAATTGAACAACAATCATTTATTTTCCAGCATAAACAGCCACATCATGTCACAGAAAGTTTCAGGTATGGACTTTGACTAGGACAATCCAAGTTCTTCCTCTTGTGTTTCTCTGCCATTTATGAGCTGGACTTGTTTTGGATCTTTGTTCTGCTGCAAAACCCCATTTTTTTTTCTTCAGTTTGAAGACACAAAAAGATGTTTTCTGGAGAAATAAGATGAGCCTCGACATTCTTTGTGCACAGCAGTGGTTTTCTTCCATACAGCCCAGTTTTGCCCTGTCTCTTCATTATGGTGGAGGCATGAAGTCTGACCTTAATGAGGGAAGTGAGGCCTGCAGTTCTTTGGACGTGGAGGGGTCTTTTGTGACCTCTCCGTTGAGTCGTCACTGCACTCTTGGGGTAGTTTTGGTCAACCTATAAGGTTCTCCACTGTTCTATGTGTTCTCCATTTGCGGATAATAGCTTCCACTGTGATTCACGGAAGGCTCCAAGTGTTAAGAATGGCTTGTAACCCTTCACAGGTGTGATAAACCACCATTAATAAGTGCATTTCATGTTTCATTTCTGGTGACTCTTACTAAAATCTACATCTGTTTGATGCACCAAAACACTTAAAGGTGACAAATATCCAAAACATAAAAACACAGGAAGGACATTTCGGGTGCCTGCCCCTCCTTCCCATCAGATAAAATCCTGATCAAACTGAGTTTAAGCCTTAAACAAAACAAAAATATTTCAACAAACCTCAGTGTCAAAGTCCAAGGCTTCTATCCCGCTCTTCAGCAAATCAAGACAGGAACCCAGCAGTTTCCATCCAGTTGGATCTTTTCCACTGAAAAAACCCCACAAAGATTAGAGTAAAATGCTTCCCTGCAATGAAAGGCAGAGTCATTACAAAGCCTCTTTTTCTATGAACTAACCTGCTCAAGGCAGCCATCCTTTTCAAGGCCGTGGCTGAATTGTAAACTCCTTGCCTATCTGCTGTACCCTGATTAACAAAACACACCAACTGAAATGCTGATAGAGGAAATAGGAGCCATTCAGCTCTGCTAAATGCTGCTTTTCTTCGTGATATGCCCTTTTAAACACATTTGCCCCTTCAGGCTCCTAGTGAATCATAGATGTTAAAAGCATTTTAGGAAAAGCTGTAAGTCCTGTCCTACAGGCTTTATAGAGACTTTCAAACCTGCAGCAGGTCACTTAGGTAAGTGTTGAAGCATTCAGTCAGGTCATCCAACAGCTGGCTAAATACCAGGCATGCACGGGAGGAGAAGGTGTAGCACTCTGAGGACAGAGTGCTGGCCAGCTTGGCACAGGCCTGCAGCACGTCAGCATCTGTATGCTTTTTCATGATTCTACAAATCTGGGAAAGCAGCAGGTCCAAATGCTAGGAAAAACACAGGATACAAAAAGGAAGAATCAACAAAATCATTAATGATGAAAAACTTTATGGGATGATTTTGCATTCAGACCCCTTTCCGAAAGAGAATCTGTGGCAAAGCTTCAAAAACTGATGTCAACAGATACTTTCCACCCAATCTGAACAAAGATGGACAAAGCTGGGAGAAACGTGCCCCCAAAAAAGTGGAGGAGTCACACTGTGTGAAAAAACTGAAATTAACAAAATGTTTTCATTTAATTGATCAACTATGCAATAATCCAGTGAAAGCAGATCTATCATATAACCCATTAGAAATGCAGCCCTGTTTGCAGCTCTAACATCGGATTAGTTTAACTTTACTGAATGTCAGAAAGTCAAGGCAATACAATTCAAAGTGTATCCTACCAGAAATGATTAAGCAGTGATATTATTTAAATATTTCCAGATCCTTCCATATGTTTTTATGGAGATAAGTCTATGTTTGACTAAACTATACTGATATCTGTCACCTCTCACCTTTTCTAGCCCCTGGGTGCTGCTGTACATGTCCAGATCGAAGTAGAGAGGAGCTCTGAGGAGAAGGGCAACCTTCTCTGCATCAGCTGAGTACTACAGGTGAACAGAAGCACAAGTTTCACATTGAAAAGCTGCTTTAAAGTGTCCCATGAACTAAAACATGATAAATGAGTCGAGTGTTGCACCTTGGAAAGCAGCTGTGGTAGTATAGGGATAAAGTGTGTGGTAATGCGACTCCTGTCTATTTCCTGAATCCTCTTTTCCTTCATGCTCAGGTTCTAATACGCATCAGTGGTTCAGAGAGAGAGAAAAAAAACTGTTTAATTCTGGTTAAAAGGAGAAACTTTTATGATGGGAGTTTTTTGCAGCAGATCCAGGAGTGTCAGCAGGCAGGCTTTTTATTAACTGAGGCTTGGTTTGGCAAATAAAACAATATATTTACAAACAAACAAGGAACAGAAAATGAAACAAAGCACTAACTATGATGAACCAGATGGAAACAATAATGCTGATCAGGTAACTGAATGAGAGAACGTGATAATTATAAATTTCTGGACTGTATAGATAATGGCTATTAAAGTCAGAGCTTAACATTGCTTTCAGTCATTCACCCACTTTCACCCACTGATGGTGGCGAGCTACAGTATGGCCACAGCTGCTCTGGGCCACACTGAAAAAAGCAAACCATGAAAAAAAAACCATTCAATTTTGCACTGCTTCAATTTCCTTCCTCTCTAACCTCAGCTATCCCATAGAACCACTTCAAACAGCTACAGCTGAGTGTATTGGCACCTTTTTGCCCTGACTTCTCCCGACTGGTCGAGTTGCCTCCGCTGCTTGTCTGATGGCACACATCATGATCTCTAGGAGCACCCCCTCCTCCTCATACATCAGACCTGGCAACACCAGAGCAGAAACACTAAGCAGACAGGACAAAAAAAAAAAATCCTCCAAGAACAGATATCTTCATTAGCACTATTAAAACATGTAAGATCAAAGCAGCAGAGCTGAAATGGCCTTAAATTAAAGCTCATGAAGTTCATAGTGATGCTCTGTCATCTCACCAGAATCCTGCAGCAGTAAAGCTGTCATCACATCCCAGTCTCTCAGCTCAGCTCCAGCTGCAGTCCACAGACTGTCCACCAGGTAGGCGCCATGCTCATGAAACTGTAGCACCAAACATGTCTTATGTTAAACAGACTGACCACATGCTAAACAAATGCAAGGTCTAAGGCAGAGCACAGGTTTCATGCTGTAGTTTGCTTTGATGAACAGATTTTGAAACAAAACTGTACTTTATTTGAAAACTGATCTTAATGATAAAAACAAATATTGAAAAATGGGATGTATTATGGAAAAAAGGGGAATTAACCTAAGGGGTTAAATCAAGAGGACAGAAAGAGAAAATGACTACCTCACTCTGGAGGTAGAAGGCAATGAATATTTGAAAAAAGGCAGCATGGCGGATTTTCTCATCCTCCTGGGTATCAGCAGCGATCAAATCTTTCAGCCTGTCAAATTATAAGATAACAAGAATTACAGTCAGAAGGTGTTGAAATAAATGACTGCTTGTCCAACAAAAACATACTTGCTGTAGAGGAAGGCACCGGCTGCAGACGCCACGGCTTGGTTCGATGCGTAAACCAGCGGATAGATGAAGCCGCATTCCTCCTCATTCAAGACGTCCTCTGTGTTCCTGCAAGCATCAAGTCAAACAAAAACACAGTGTAATTCTAATCATTATTCCACAAAGTTATTTTTACCTTTTTAAATGTCAGTCATATCAGTTTCTTTTTCATTACACAAATAAAATGGTTTTACTCTAAAGCCCATAAATAAAAACCAGTGCAGCCAAGAAGCCATCAGATGTAACAGTTAATAAACAGACCTTAGAGGTGTTCTAAAGAATTAAGTAAACAAACAGAATAATAAAGACAAAGACAGAGTGGGGATAAAGATGTTGATGCTGGATTAGATCATAAAACAGCATCACATGCTTTGAAACATGTGGAAAAGCTTTGATGAATCCATGACATGTTAGTCCACATAAACTGACCTGCCAAGCAAAGGGATCATTAATGCGAGCAGCAGCCTGTTCTTTAGTTAAAAAAAAAACAAGGCTCTTTTCAAAAACCCTTCCTGCCTTCAGCTAAGTTTACTGAATGGGTGGTTCCAAGTCGGCCTTTGAGTAGGAAGATTGACTGAGAATGAGATTAAATCAGGGCTGCGGCAATATGGCATAAACATCTAATCTGATTAATAGATTTTGTTCTCGCTTAAGTTTCATAATAAAATTGAAAAATAACAAAAAACTAGCTTTGATTTGAACCAATTATAGGGCAAAAAAAATCAAGCTGTGAAACAAACATATTTGTAAAATAATCGAAAATATAACAGACTACATGTTAGTAGCTAGTGCAGGGGTCGGCAACCCACAGCTCCACTGTTCCGGCTTTGGATTTAAACATAAATCTATTCTTTTTTTTTTGTTTTATTTTTTCCTTTGGTGTTAACAGTATGGTATAAAGTGCATAATCTAAAGAAAGAAACAACTAAAATGCAGATAAACAAGGTTTAATCATATTTTGCCAGACTACTCTGAGCATATCTGATGACATCAGACAACGAGTTAAATGGAGAAAATTTACAAAGAATAAAATTGTCTCAGAAAAATCCTAAACAGGATGTGTATTAGCATTCTTTAGTGATTTAAGGATAGAAATAAGTAATTTTAGTACCATAATTACATTATTTATGGCAGCCTGGATGAATATCTGCTTGCACATGCTCAAATGAGCTGATGGTACGGATCATGCTTCCAGTACGGATCGGGAAGGGACAGAGCGTGTGCTGTCATACAAGGCTTGTAGAAGACTTTTACATTTTTGCGTCTCCAGACAGACTTGTTTTTTGGTCCAATATGGCTCTTTGAACAGTTTGGGGTTGCCAACCCCTGCCCTAGTGGTACCACACAGTGAGCTAGTTTATCAGTTATGAGGAGACATCTAAGAAGGTGGTAATGGCTACATGTTTCAGATAAAAATGATTTTAAAGCTGCGGTTATAAAAGTGAGAATGATTAAGGAGTATAAATAATTAGTCAAAACACTGCTTACAAAATAACTGCTGTCACTGCTAAAAGGTGTTTATGTTATATATACAGAAATAATCTAACACATCTTGATGAATGATCAGAAATATTTGTTTTTTCCTAGAGATTAGTATTTATCTATCAGTCTTATAAACACCAAAGATGATTGTTTGCTGTTAAAGCAACTTTGGTGGACAAACATGATAAAAAAAAAGTCATGTAAGAAGGTAGGGTGGCCTCCAGCAGATGTTATCATTTACCCAAAAAAATATGGGCAGGAAAAGAAAAATTGTCAAAATGTTACTAAAACTATTTTTATGTAACCAGCTGATACAAATGCTTAATTTCTCTACCAGCTGATCTTTAAAGAATCAAAAGAATGAAAAGCTCTAAACCATTAAAATTGAAGAACATTATCTGTATTTTTTCCCTACTAAAAATATTCCCAACAAAGAAACCATTAGAAAAAGCCCTCACTGTTGGATCATCAGCAACAGATTGACCGCTTCCACCGCCACGTCTGGGTCTTTGTCCAACACCATGCTGAGCATCCTTTCCTAAACACACACAGAGATTCAGTGAAGCACAGCTACACACACCATGCTGCCAGCAGCCAAACAAACCAATAAATGATATGCATAGATGTGAGCGCACACACACACACACACACACGTAAGTGTTACTTGCTGATTAGGATGTCAGCAATCGCACAGAAAAAGGACCATTTATCTGCAGCAGCACATGTGGTTTCAGAGAGCTTTCATGTGTTTGAGAAGGGCTTATTATCTATCAGTAATTGGCGGCAATTAACACAACCAGGCACAGGCCCAAACAAAGGATGGGACCAGACCCATAAAAAAAGTGTTGCAAGGACAAAAAAAAGGAAAAAAAATGCATTAATATACAGGGAGGAGACACAACCATTGGGTGGAGAAGCACAGTCAGGAAACAAAGTGGAAACAAAACAAAAAGCACAAACAATAGATGGGAGACAGATGTTGAGGGAAGACAGGAAAGAGAGAGACTGGGGAAAAAAACAGAGGCAGAAAGCAGACATTAAATGAGGCGTGGGTCCAATCCAGAGGGATGCCTCACTTTAAATCTGCTGGTGAAAAGCTCCAGGCGGCCAATGAACTCCTTCTCCTGGTACAGACCCTGCAGGGCACGCACACACTGCAGACGCACTTGACTTTGCTGCAGGAAGACAGAAAAAAAAAAGTACGGTAACATGTTTTTCTTCAGCCTGCATTCACCCACACACACACACACACACACACACACACACACACACCCACCCTCCTTTTTGTGTGCAAGATTCCTGTAAAATGGGCTAAAAAAGGGAAATCAGATGAATAGATGAAATCCTGCCACTGAAAACTCAAAGCAAGTATAAGGATGACTTGAGATAAGTGAAAACTGCTGAAATCTGCAGCTGCTCTCTAAAGTCTCTTCCCCACTGAAAAACCGTATTTAAGTGTGTTTTTTCAAACATGGGTTGACCCACTAACAATCTAACTCCTAGCCGGCAAGCTGCGTAGCCTCTGTCCCGTGTCTGATGACACCATCAGGCTGTGTTAGTGTTGATGATGCCACCAATGTGACAGAAATCATGAAGGTAAACAACGGAGAGCAGCATGTAGGGAAGCCAGGGCCTAGTCAGTTTCTGCTTTATTGTTTCGCTTTTTCATTGGTCTGAAACCCTCATACCAACGCCGTGTCATGATTATCGAATGTAGACAGAGTTGTTTCGGCTTGTTAGATCAGACATGGCTGCCGCGATGTGTTGACATCCGTACGTTGTGTTCAGTGGTGTAATCTAGCAGGTCAACTCAGCTATGGAGTTCCCACAGCACGCCAATCAGATCCGAGGCGATTTTTACAATTTTTAAGTCGTTGAGCTAGGTAGACGTGTGTCAGTGAGCTGTTCCCACTGCCGCTAAAAGTCGATTGTTCCCAGGGTTAAACTGGTTTTTCGGCAAGTGAGAAAGGGGTATACGTGAGACCCAGAGAACAACTGGTCCTGATGTAAAGAGGAAAAGAAGACTATCACCCTCTCCCTCCGTCATCTGTGCTTACCCTGTCATGTAAGGTCCATCCCAGGTATTTCAAGAATTCATCTTTCAGGAAGTTCTCAGGGTCAGTTTTCATCCAAAGTCCCAACTCCACAATACATGCTGCACGGATGTCTGGCAGTTGGTCGCGGTAGCGGTGCACGAAAACGCCACGGAAAGTGGCGTTCATCATGAAGGAAAGCTCCTCTTTGTTTTCTTGCAGCTACATCAAACACACAACACACAACAAGTTTGTCCATCTATTTCGTCTCTATTAGAAAAAAGTTTTTCAACATTTCACACTATTCACAGAAAGTTAGCAGTAAATGAACTGTCTCAGGTCTAAATAGTGCATTTGAGATAGTGGACAATAATTCAGCATATGTCACAATATATTTTCATTTGAGTTTTAAACACAGTTGTGATATTTCAATGCCTTCCTGTGCAAGATTACATAATTAATCAATATTTGGTTTTATGTGTTTCGTTTTTTTTTTAAAGCAAATATTTCTAAATGTTATTTTGGATGAGTTTCAAAAGCATGACAAGATAATTATCATAAGTTTGTGTACAACTCTGTTAGGAGTTCTTTCAGTCTTTCTGAGGGTTTTATTTTGTTTATATCGACATTAAAATGATATCAAATTGACTGAAACAAAAAATATATATATTGTGTTATATATAAGCTTTGGCCATATTGTCCTGCCCCATCCTAATCATGTCTGCGCCTACATGCACATTATTTAAACCTGTCTGAATTGTTCCACGGGGAAAAAAGTGACTTAAGTGACATGATCATATTAAAGAAACTACCTTTTTATCTTTAAGACATGTCCTTCAAAGTCGAAGTTTGGAGCGACCACTTTTAGTGTGATCTTAATTTATCCCATTTTACCCAAGTAAAAATAGCTCAATAAGTAGAATAGAAAATTCCTTTATTATCTCACAGTGGGGATGACATGCTCTTTATTAAATGGTAAGCAGTGGATGTCTGCTTTTATCTTTTATTCCTCTCTAGACTAATATTTTGTATTTAAGGAGCAAATACTTGCTTTTAGCACTTCTCCCATGCATATTAATGTGAATATGAGGAACAAGCTGTAGATGCTTGGATCAACCTTTAGGACTTTTGCAGACTTCCTTTAGCCTCCTACTGTCTGATGGTCGGCATGCATGGATGCTCATACATGGACATGTTGGTAGTGAAAGGGCTGATTTTAAATTCCTTGGACCTCTTTAAAGTTTAACTCACCTAAAAACCCTTTTTTCTTTCTTTTCCAAATAACCAGTATATTTTGGGGCGCTATCATTATGTTACTGAGTATTTTTTTTTTTTTTTTACATTTTCTGTAATAGGACTGCTCTGAATGGTTAAACAGTTATTATTGCAGTTTAATTCTGCTCTTTGTTCAAACAGTACACTGCAAAAATGTAAATTTAGGTAACTATTTTTTTCTTAAAATAAGTGCATTTTTTCTTGAATTGAGGAGATAAGTGAGACACTTTGCCAATGGAAAGAAAACGTGCTCTCCCTCTCTCTCTGGCCCATAACGCACTGCTGCTGGAATGGAATGAAACATGCACTTTTACAATTTACATTGAAATGAGAAAAAACAATTGCAATCTCTTATTTCAATTACAGAAATTTGATTTATCTTATTTTAAGTTTTTATCAGTAATTTTATTAGTAAAAATTCTCATTCCATTTGCAGATCATATTATTTTCCTACATTTTCATTCATTTTTCGAACGTTTTTGCTGTGGACATGCTTATATATGCCTAAGTTACAGGTATGGCATCTGTTAAAGTCCTGTATTATAATGGTATAAAACCAACTCACTCAGCAAAATGCCTCAGTAGTGAGGCAAGTGGTCATCCTCCACCTCAGCAGCACTGAATACTGGTCAAAATGTACTCAACTGGTTCAGAATTTTTATTCCATAAAGATTAAAAAGGTTATTCTGTCTGATCTAACCAGTATTACTTGAGCTAATCTCATTGTTTTAGAACAACAAACAAGCTGTGTTTTAGATGTGTGACTTGACTGCAGCAGTGCAATATCTTACTGGTTCGTCTATGCTTCACCTTTTTGATGCTGCTCTTCAGCTCCTCCAGTCTGTCAGAAGCTTGCACATGAGGCTTCTTGCTTTTCTCTGTGTCAAATTGCCGCTGGGTGGTCTGCAGCTGAGCTGATACTTGCACAGCTACATCCACCAACCCTGTCATCAGCTTAATGGCTACAACAGAACCGACAAAAAGAAAAGGCTGACACAACAATATGCAAATGCCTTGGACTTTCTCACATTTTGAAAAGCACAAACCTTTATTTATTTAACTGGATTTATTTATGCGATGGAAAAAATACAAATCACAAGGGGGAGATAATCTTTTTAAAATTCTGTTTTTAAGAAGTTAAATGTGTGTTGGTATCCAGCTCACTGACTCAATGCTTTGAAAACCAACCTTTACTTCAATCAATGCCGAAATTGTTTGGTGATTTTTGAGGAGAGCACCTGGACACAAACATCCAAGTCTTGTCAAGAGTTCTCAGTTAGATTTAGTTCTGAAGTTATGAGTTATTTCAACACATGAATACAGTTTGATCTAATCTACTGTATTGTTCTTTTGGCTCCATGTTTGGGAGGGAAATCTCTGCTCTTTAAAGTCGTAGGGAAGTCATGTTTAAATGTCAAATCATTTTGGCTTAAACGTGTATATACATCTTTATCAGACAATGTCAAATATTTTAGAAAATTTCTATTTAAAAAAAAATCCTGTCTTAAAATCTGTGGGGGGTTTTTCGTTATCTTATGCAGGCCACTTAGTTATATGTCAGCTTGTACACATAAATTCGGCCAATCATATATCAACGGTCATCTGTCAATCAAATTTTTTCAGTCATAGCATCTTAATTCACATGTCGCAGCTAATAAACGCAATGGTTGAAATAACAAATAAGAATAATTTACTTTCCCATTGAGTTCCATCCCAGTGTTCACGGGGATGGACGTCTGTGTCTTCGGCAGGCGTAGAGCTAACAGAACTGGCAGCGTTGCGAGGCAAGGGCTTAAACATGTACCGCTGTAAGCATTCTACACCAAACCAAGATTTGTGGCAAATCTTCAACAAAATTTCTTACATGTATTTTCTGTAAACATGGCTGTATTCTTGTGACTTCTATACAAGGGTCAGATTATTAGCATGACTAATAATTAGTCCTGTCAACGGATTCTCACGTTGTTCTCCTCTTTAGCTCCTCCAGAGGTACTATGAGTTTCCTTGCTGCTTTTTGAATCATTATCTTTTTACTTCAGTCATTTACATCCAGTTGTGTCCTGTTTTCACTATTTCTAAAGAAGGCTTGATAAGGGATCTATAAGATGCTCAATGCTTGGAATACTATTATGTGCCCGAATCTGTTTTAATCTATTCCAAAAATGAATCTCTGAGCCTTCTGCTGAGTTCCTTGGAGTTCATGATGTTTGATAACTGATTTTCTCTGCAAAGAACAAACAGGAAGACTCCATAAATTGGGACATTTCTAAACGTTACTTCAGTTACACTAAAGGAACATTTAGAGGAATCAATTTAAGGGACTGTACACATGTGGGCTAAATCCTGTCTAACTTTACTTCTCTTTAATGTTCTACTTTATTTTGATATTACACTAAATATATATAACTAAGTTGTAGTTATATTACAAAAGTGAAAACTTTTACGAGGATTTAATACCTAAGAATCAGGAAATGGAAACCTTCCCCCTGCTCTTAGAGAATGACGCAGTGATCAGTGCTTACCCAGCAAGGTACTGGTGTGTCTGAAGGCTCTGACCTGGGAGTCAGACAGGCCGGTGAGCAGAGCCAGAAGGGAGGGGAAGAGAAATTCGTCGTAAACCAGACTGTTGCGACATAGTCGCACCAGAACCCGGACAAACTCGCACAAACCGGCTTTGAAACGCTTCAGCTGAGGACCAGGAGTGGTCAGAGGGTAATTTGCAGAATCCTGAACAAAAAGGAGAATAAACAAAAATCTCTTTTTATTCTACATTCATGTTTTGTTTAGTAACACTGAGCCAGTGGGTTGTTCTGCTAATGACAAAAACAGTGATGATGATCTAACTGCTGTGCTAATTTATCATCATTAGATTGTAATTAGCCTTTTTTGATCAAGCTGTGCGCCATCTTTCAGATCACAATCTCATGGGACAGAGAGATATTAAACCTCTGAAACTAACCCCAGGGTTAAGAAAACGGAGAAGACAGATGGAAAAAATGTGACTGTAGAGATTTACCCCAAACCAGATAATAAATTGCCCTTTACTTTCCTTCTTACCTCACTGAACTCCTGTGTTAGAGCACAGATGATTTCAGCGTTCTGCATGCTTTCAAACATCTCTCTGCTCACCACACCTGAGCACAAAGATCCACATTAAAACCTAAACCTAGTAAAGGGCCAAGAAACCGATTTGAGAACATCTGCAAGCCCCTGCTTTCATTTTTTTTCTTTTTTTTTTTTTTTTAAGATTAATGCTGTCAGCAACACAGAGATCAATACAACAGATGATATCTCTCACTCCCCCCACACACACAAACATCACTCTCCCTTCCTGTTTAACCTCTGACCTTTGCATCCACAGGACTGAACAATAAAGTTGATGAGCACCAGCAAGCCTGCCTCTTGGCTCTGTTTGTAGCTGCTCAACCACTCCTCCACCACAGTCTTAAAACAGAAAGACAACAGCCAATGAGAAGAACGATCAGATAGAATCAGAGTGGAGAAAAAACACTGATAGGAGAATTAACGCATCTGTTTTTTTTTTTTTTTTTTATGGCACCTTTTTCTTGACTAAAAACGAATTTACGGATATGGAAAAAAATATTTAACTACCCTTTGTGTTTCATTTGACTAAAAAAAAACTTGAAGTGCCTAAAAGCACAGTTATAGGCAGAACAATGCCATAGCTATGAATGCACAAACTAAAGTGATTTCTGTAATCAAGAAAAAGTGGAAATGTGTAGAAATGAACTCTTAAAATTAAAATCTATCACCTTATCATTACATGTGTCCAAACCAATTGCCCGTTAGCAGACAGTAGCAGAACAATAGTTGGGATGAATGGTGTTTTCACTCAATTACTGTGTGTCCAATGAGATTTACTCTTCCTCTTTGCCTATCAAATGCTAATCTCAGAGACCACCTCTTCAGCTGCTGTTTGCTTCTTTATAACATTATGCTCACCACCATGGCGGTCTTTCCAGAGCACACGGCATCATAGATATCCTTTGCACTGATCCCCTGCCTCTCCTCACTCTCTCGCGTCACATGTCTAGAGGAGGGCTTTCTGGGCGTCCCCTGAGAGAGGGAAAACTGCTGCTGGGAGGGGTCAGGAGGACTCGAGATGTGGCTGCTGTTAGGACTCAGTGCAGCATTACGCCTGGGTCTTTTTGTTGGCTTTGGATGAAAGAGAATTATTTAAAAGCATATTGTGGACTGGTAGGAGATGTGAATTTAAAAAAAAAGGTTTTATTATAGGCTTCTGTAATAGGTTTCAGTTGTTGACTTATTATAACAATTTAAAATGACAGCTACATTGAGGTAAATTGGAAATACCAAAACATGGACAGAATCAAAGAATCCAAGTAAATTTTTCAAATAAAAAAAGCAAAAATTCTATTAGTTTTCCTTTTTATCCTGCTTTCAAAAAGTACAAAACACTGATTTTAAGGCAGATATGTTTTAGTTTGACTTAGCTTTAATGAGTGAAACAGTGAAAAAGTAATGAGTTTGATCGATAGAGAGACAAACACTTGTATAGAAGGACATACAAATGAATAACAGATGGATTGATGGGCAGAAAAAAAGGAAATACAAACATATATCTTTTAAAATTAATACCTCAATTTTAGGGCTGCAACTAACAATTAATTTGCAAATCGATTAATCTGTCGATTATTTTTTAAATTAATCGATTAACAATCAGATAGCCAAAGGTTCCTTATTAAAGATTTTTTTTTTTTACCAAGTTAAACCAGATGAAACTTTAACTTTTACACTTCCGGAGTTCTAGACAGAGGATATTGACAGACGGAACATTTTTTTTAATCTTAAATACAAAATGTTTATAGATTTTTTTGTATAATCTTGGTATAATTACTGCTCTACGTGGGTCATTCTGTCAGCTAAAAGCATGTTTTAGAGTCTCTCTACTCCAGTTCACGATTAATCAATAACAAAGTTAGTTGACAATTATTTCACTAAGTGATTAATTCCAATTAATCGGATTAATTGTTTCAGCCCAACTACATTTTATTCCAAACTTGGTATGAACCATTAAAAACAACTGCCTTCATAAACCAAATGACATAAACAATGAATTAAAATAAAAAGAAAAGTACCTGAGGCCCAGTTAGTGGCAGTTTACTTCGCTTTGAGACATTTGTCTTGGGATTATAGATACTCCCATAATCTGAAGAAAGATCCAAGTCTTCCAGACTAACAATAAAACAAATCAGGATTAGGACAAAGCTTGACAATAATTAACTATAATTACTAATCCTATCACTAGTACTAAACCATGTAATCATGATAATAGACAAAGTATTTATATTACATGACTTTATAACGACTATTCTTAGTAAACTTCTTAAGTGCAAATTTAAATTACAGGCCTGGGGATTTTTACCTGTCATAGACTGAGCTTTCAGTTTCCATCGTAGCTGAAAAAGAACATTCTGGATTAAAACGAGTGGTTAGCTTATTTTTTCCCATCATTAATAACTTGAACTTGGGTTATCAGTAAATTAAACTTCTAAATTATTTTGAAAAAGACACGTTATTGCTAACTACTACATGTAAGAGTACTAAAAACTCACAAATACTTACGAAAAAACTTTTATTTAACTCGTTGCTAACGTTTTTTCTTCTTGCAACGATGCTAGCAGCGAGATACCCGCGAACAAATTCTCGAGGCTGATTGGTTAGCACTTCATGCTGGATCCTGATTGGCCTGTCTCAAAACTTGCTCCGTGATTATTGGTTAAAAGAATGTCAGTTAGAACTATGCGCTTTGCTACCAGGTAGTGTGTTTTAAACAGTTCCACAATGCCAATGCTTAAGAACAATATATTCTAAGCATTTATTAAATGGGCTTTCTGTTTGATGATTGGTTGTGTTTGGGGATTTTTTTAACACCTGTATTTTTTTTAAGACCCAAAGGGAAGTCCAGAGTTCAGCATCCTTTCATCCGTCTCTCTCTGTGCTATGCTTAAATGAAGCAGACAGCTTCCGGTTTGAATTTCAAAATAAATCACTATTTTCGAAGCTAACGGGATTCTACAATTAGAACAGTTAGCGAACATGAAACCAGGTTTACTGTGTTATTATATATTGTTGAATTCCTACTTGGTAATGCTCTGTGCTATATGGGTGAAATGGCTGCATAATTACAGATCTGTTGTGCTTTGTAAAAGAGGCAGATTTTTACAACCTTCATATTGAAATGGTTTATGATCCCTTCCTTGTATACTAAATTATGTATTTCTTCCTAGAAAGCTTGTGTGTATTTTATTGAGATGTTATGTTGTATGCAAATCCAAGCATTACATAATTGTGAAGTGGAGGGGAATGACTTGATTTTGTCATATTTTTGCATAGGAAAATGTAAAATAATAATAATTTCAAAATAACTTTATAAGTCAATCATTATCTGTTGTCTTGGCGTGAATACACCCTTTCAGTGTTCTCAGAGGTTTCACAGGAAACACTGAAGAAAAAAAAACAGCAATGTGAGAACAAAGATGCACCAGGTGATAATTGACAATAACTAGCGGAGAATTTAGAAATCACTATTCCCAGTTTCTAACATCTCACAGAGAGCATGGTTTGATCCATCATTCACAGATTGAGGAGACAAAGAAAAACTGCAAGTCTACCAACCCTCCTGTCGAGTGAGGTAAGTATTTAGCAGACAGCTATCAAAAACACTGCGACTTGAGGAACTGCAAAGATCCACACCTCATGTGGAAAAGATTGCTGACGGAGATAACTGTTGTAATTTATATATATATATATATATATATATATATATATATAGATCAGCTAATATGTTGTTGTTTTTAACATAAGGCAAATTTTTACTAAATTAGAATACAGCAGAAAAGCTCAACATTTGTCATTTTAGAAATTGACATATGGATTATTTACACAGAATGGAACATTTCAAAGCTTTGTTTCTTGTAGGATGTATAAATACAATTTTAGATGTGCAAAGAAGTAACCTACCTCAAAATACCATGTATCATTCTACTTTCAATTTTAGACCACGCTGTTCTAGATGGCCAACAAGGGCGAGTGTCCCTGGAGAATTAGCCCTGGCCCTTTGCATGGCCCCTAGAACAGCCCTTGTGCCAGATGTTTAATGAGATAAACAAAAAAAAAAAGTACAGTGTAGTTTCAAATTGAAAGTAGAATCTTCCTATGAGACATGCTGGCACACAAACCATAACTGATAGGCTGCTTGGACCAGTATAGTTTCTGATCAACAAAAACTTGACCAATGTTCACCCTACCGGTAATTTGACTCATTTTTGGAGCTTGAATCAGAAAAAAAAAATAAAATAAAATAAAAATAATAATAATTATATATATATATATATTTATATATATTACAGTGGAGAAGAGATTTCACAGCTCTGTTGTGTGACTACAACCTACTAATCCTATTGGTGCAGAATTTTTTGGGTTAGCTCTGGTAATGTAATCAAAGGTAAATAATATATTTTGGACCACTTAAGAATTAAAA